TATAAATTAGATTAGGTTGCCTTGTAGAGACCTTATAGATAATCAAACTAGTTAAGAATTTAGTGTGATCATAATATTGGTTAAACATTATGTTAAACTTACTAACAAATTCTATAGAACTAGCAAATCCATTAATTGATACTCACAAATTTTATAAAGCTATTATGACATTAAATTGGAACTCACAAATTCTATAGAACTAGTATATTCATTAACTGATATATTGATACGTGTGACAATTATGTTATACAAACATAAATAGTAAAATGAATCAAGCAAGCCTTGTTCAAAAAATGTAAAATTTCAATCCAAATGTTAAATAGGTGTTCAAAATCTATATATATATATATAATTGCTGGCATGTAGCATTTAATAAAACATTTAATAAAATCTCTAAAATTTTTCCTCCATTTTCGGTTACAAAATTAGTCATTAGTATTTTTTACTTCTCACATAATACATCTCAATGAGTGTAATCATGTATGTTTTTATTATATTATATAATAATTATTGTTAATACCAACTAATAATAATTCACAATAAATATAAATTACATAATTATAAACAATTGTTTCAAGTTATGTATTTTAACATCAATATTATCTTTTTCTTTTGTATCTCATAAAAAATTTCTTTAAAAACAATTAGTAAATTGTTTTAATAGCATAGTTAAACAACTTTAGAATCTTATAAATAATTGTTTTTAATAATATATATATATAATTTCTGCTTAGCATTTAATTTTACCTATTTAATAACACCTCTAAAATTTTTCCTCTATTTTCAGTTACAAAATTTATCATTAATATTTTTTACTTCTCACATTAACACATCCTATTAAGTGTAATCATGTATTTTTCTATTACATTATATAATAGTTATTGCTAATACCAACTAATAATATTCAAAATAAATATAAATTACATAATTATAAACAATTGTTTCAAGTTATTTATATTAACACCAATATCTTCGTTTTCTTTTGTATCTCATTAAAGAATTTCTTTAAAAACAGTTATTAAATTGTTTTAATAGCATAGTCGGACAACTTTAGAAGCTTATAAACAATTATTTTAATAATAATAATAATAATCAAACTGTTATTATCTAATGATATAAAAAGAATTTCATAATAATAAAATCGTTAATTTATTTTTCCTAATAATTAAA